GGGGGGGAGTATGAACGGAGCCGGGACGGCGGGCGCGCGTGGCCGGGGCCTCGCCGCAACGTGACGTTACTACGAGCGGTTGCGTCACGCTTACTATGCGGCGGTGATGTCAGCACGCCACCGACGCCGGTGCGTTATCATCTGACCTAAAAACATTGACTCGCTTCTCCGCCTTCATTCGTACGAAATGCCGGGTCTAGGCTGGGAGATTATATACGCGATTATGGGCGCGTTATGTCCCGCCGCCGAGACGATCGATCCTTCGACCCGCGCGAGAGTGAAATTTTTCCACGATAAACTTACACTCCTCTTGCTCCTTCTCCTCCTCCTCGCTCCTCGCGACTATCAGATTGGAACCGCGTTATGAGGATTAATCGTCGAGGGTAGGCTCGATTTCTCGTGTTTACCCGCTGGAAATCGAGGGAGGAAGGCAGCGAATGTAGAAAGAGTGCGGTAGAATGAAAACGCGATAAACGCGATGTATTGTATCGCTTTCGTAAAAGATATGTGAAATTAATAAAGTGCTAAGAGATGGTAATTTACTAAATTTTTCATAAATGATCCGCGAGATTTTAGTTGAATCGAGGGGGAGAGGGAAAGGACTGATTTTGGAAATCAACGCTCTTCTTTATTTGTGTTAAATACCCACTGCACAATACAACTATGCGCGTGTAACAGCGATAATTCCATGTTCTGAATAATTATCGTCACGCGTGCGTTACATCCTAAGTTACAGGTTACGAAGTCGAACGTGATCGGTGGATACTCCACGGCGACGAAATTACGGTATTCCCCGTGTTATTCCGGTTTATACCGTTAGGGCTGGGTTGCAACACCGCACCGGTAATACGTTCCCCATAACGCATCCGCCGTGCCCAATTTACGTGGGTAGAGAGAAGTTTAGGTGGGGGGAGGAAAAGGGCTTTAGTAATCTCGAAATTTGTCTACCTGCACTTTCGAAATGTCATTGTCTTCCTAAAGCAGACTTGATTAAACAATGTTTCTTATTGCTGTGTGAAGATCGGTAGATACTGGAATTCCCTTACTGAAATTTATTATTGAAGGAAATAATACTTATTTTTAAGTATTAAAAGAACTAATAAAGAATACTTTTACAATATTTTTTGGCTCCTCTGGTAAATTTCTGTAAGGGTTGTATGGCGTCATAAATGCCTTGACTTGTTAAGTCGCCCGCATACAAGGGCATATTCAAGGCGTGTGCTTCCTGTCGAAACACGTGTCCAAACATTAGACATGTTATTCGAGATTTAAGTTATTTGAGAGAAACATTGTCATATTTATCGTTATATTATTACTATTATTCATCAGTCATTAATGTGTTTAAACTATATAAGTATCATCTACTTTGAGATAGTGTTGCAATTTCTGGAGTAATCAACAGTCATGACACACGAATATCTAGACAGGAAACACCCGGCCCGAATGTGACTCGATATGCGTGCAATTTCATGTATGAAGACGTTTATCTTTCCGAATGTACACATCGATTAAAACGGATATTATTCGTGAAGTGCAAGTTGAGAGCCCCTGGGAGATAGTCACGATCATAAAAGCTCGTTTTCACGTCAAAGATCGTGGTGGTTTTCAACGATGATTCAATGTTAATGCTGGAATCTTTCAGTAAGGCAGCATCGCGACTTTACTATTATTTTTATTATTATTATTAATCATACGTTGACAACGTCATCGCGATTCTTCGTGATTCCGTCACATCTCGAAACCTTCGCGAAAGGAATTGTGTCAGCGACCAAAATTTCTGGGAGTACGATGTTTCATTATGCGACAGACGGCACTTGAACGGCATCTCTCTTACTCTCGGTCTCTCTCTCTTTCCCTGCGGTGCTTAGCGTCCGCAAATTCGCTGATCCTTGAATAAGCAAAAAAGGTTGTGGCATGACGCGAGCGTCTCCTAATAGAAAACTTGAACATTTAAGAATATTATTTAATGATAAGTGGCTTCAAGAAATATTACCGTTTTTTCACTACAAATTCTTGGATTTTTCTTCACATTGTAAAGTTCTAAAAGAATACTGTGATTGCAGTTACGAAAATAATAAGTATTAAATATAAAATTGAGGTAATATTTTACGTAGAAAAAATAATTATAAATTTGTCAAAAAATTTTAAATATTATCAGCGTGTTCTTAAAATACATATATCTGAGGGAAATTTTTGACATATTTCTAGATATTTATAACGTTTTTTTTTTTATAAAAAATTATGTAAGTTAAGATAAAATAATGTGATAAGATATTGTTAGCAGGATGATATAGGTAAGTTAGTTGGATTTTTTAAAGATTAAAAAGTAGGAAAGCTGAATAGATGTGTGTGAAATATGTAGGATAAGTATGGACGCGAGGGTTTAAATTGCTAAGGTAAAAAAGTCTTAAAAAATTAAGGATGGAAGATTTGAGGATTTTAAATAAATTAGGAGATAATAAGAAGAGAGAGAATGTGCGAAAATATAGGAATATAAGAATGGAAAATGAGTTTAAATGTAAAGAGAAGGTTTAAAAATAGAAGGCTATGTAAGATAAGATCAGATAATGTGAAAGATATAAACACAATGACACATAGGTAGATGAATGGTTGGATTTTAAATGTCAAAAAGTAGGAAGGATGGATGGATGTGTATGGATAGGAAAAAGTGTAAACCAATTTGCGCAATATATAAGTTCAAACACTACGAGTTTGCAATTTTTAATTTTATAATTTTATTTTATTACTTAATGATCGCTTATTGCAAATGTATTATAAATTAAAAAAACATTTTCTAATATATATTTTATATTAAATCTTCTTTGGCTAATCGTAGTTAGAAATAAATATATATATTCTATTTTATAACTTTTTTTTTCAAGCTTCAAGATTTCTTTAAAATGTTTTCTAAGTTTTTTCCGAAAACTTCGTGTTTCGCGCTTTCGACAATGAGGAAGATTTAAATATTTGAAGCTTCGAATATTTCGAGAAAGATATTTTGTTTTGCTCAGTTTTTCCATTTACTACAAAAGTGGAGTAATACCGTTCAAGTCCGTGATCCAATTTAACGATAAGGGAACACACGTTCGCGCATTCCTCGTGCGCTCGGCGATACGCACGACCGCGCGTGGCGGTCGTGTACTCCGAGGTCGACCCTAACAATCTCGAATTTCAAGCGTCGCGGATAAACGCCGCGGAAAAAGTTTCGTGGAAGGATTGACGTTTTCGTAAAAACAAAAAAAAATAAACGCGAAATTCTGACGGCCGCGAATCGATCAGCAGTCTCGAAAGCCGGTGCCGCTGGTGGAATCGTGAATGACATCACGCGCCCGATGTCAGCCATTTTAGCGCGATGTCAGGCGTCGCGTGAGGCCGGCCGGCGTTGCACGTTGCACGCGAGCGGGCGCGTGTAAAACGCCACGCCATTTTCGGAGCCGTGCGAGGGGGCCCGCGATTTTAAGTTCAAGATCATATACGAGGTGTCGTGTGCAACACGATCGGTAGGGCGCCCTTCTCGTCTGGGTAAATTAGACAGATATATAGTCTCTACTTTTTGGGAATCGAAGGAGGGGCAGCATAAATCGAGAATCGGACAAAATTAGAATTACTTATAAATTTTATAACGACGTCTTTTTAAATTTTACTTTAGAATTGTAATGTTTGTTAATTCCTTAATTAGGTAATTTTATAGTGGATATTCCGCCTGGTATTTTTGTAGAAAGAGGATCAGCATGTGAAAAATATTTATATATTTATTGGACATATATAAAAAAATTTTGTAACATATTTTTATATTATTTATATTTTATTTATGTAATGTATATGTATAAATATATAACAAATTTTTTTAAATTCATATATACGATATTTGCAATAAAGTGTACTCGCTAAAGTAATAACATAAAATTATAAAATAAAAAATTGCAAGCTTTTAATCCTTCAATTTATATATCGCGCGAGTATTTATGCAAAATTATAAAACTCCAGTTATGCGCAACTAAACTTGACCCGTGACATTGTAACGGATGTCGCTCGTCCGTATAGCTGGATGCACATAACGTTGCAAAGTCTTCCGAAGCGTCTCGTCGCCCCGCATTTCGTTCCGATTGGTCTGCGACAGGACTAGAGGGCGACGACCATCACCCTATGCTATAAGAAGCGTGTATAAATCTCGAGACTCCCTGGCTCAGCAATTGTTTAGAGCAGTGGTATCCAACCTTGTCTACGGCCGGCGAGTAATGGAACTCAAAAGAAAAACAAAAGAATTAGCAATGTGACGAAAACTTTAGCATCTACTATTATTTTCTTTCCACTGCATTTTTGCAATGTGTTCACGAAGAGCTAGCCTGAGCGTATTTTTATTGACGTAAACGGTTTCATCGCTGACTGTTTATTGCGAACAATATATCAAGGTGTTTTCTATCTGAAAAAAACTTGGAAAACTTACAATTAGAATCTTGAATTTTCAGAGAATTTCTCTTTTACCTTTGAAAATCAAGAATTTTCGATAAAATGGAATTTTATCGGTACTGAGAAATTTTTGGATTTTTACTTTTAAATTTATATTCTATCTCTTTTTGAAAGCATAATTTTTTTTATCATTTTTTTCTTGATATAATGTAAAATGTCGATTAGCAATGAACATGGCATATATATATGCGCGTACATTTACATACATTTATGTGTCTCGCGAGTTTTTATTTAAAAAATTAGAATGACAATAAAAGAGATTATACAGCAGAGAAGAGAGTAATTTGTTGATACTATATTATAGTGAATTTTCCTTGTAGGTACTTGATTTATTAGTTTCACAGCTTCAATTGTAGAAAAGGGTAGATACAATCTCATGGAATCCTTGTTTTCTAAAAACTAAAGAATCTTTTAGCAATTTACAATATATAATTTGTTTCCGTTACTATCATATTCCAATTTATTTCAAAGTTGGATTAAAAAATTCTTTACTCTTACTTGGAATTTTGAATAATATTTAGGAAATTTAGGAAAATTTTCAAGAAATTTTGTATAAGATTTTAGTATTTTAGTAAACACTTTGATATATTTATTACGAAGTTATATATATAAATACTTTACATTGTAATAACATTCTCGTCATAGAAAATTATATTTTATTGAATGTCACGCGTTTCCAGCTTGAAACGCTGTTAGGGACGATCGTTAGCTTAAGTTAATTAGCAGCCGGCGAACTTCTCCGCAAATTTCTGGTGAGCGTGTGCTTTCCGGAGTGCACAGAGTTTTTTTTTGCCTTGAAGATCGAGCGAGGGAGAAGAACGGGCGAATATTAAACACACAACGTCCGGGCCACCATGGCAGAAAATAAAATTTTCAATGTGGGTCGTACATCGCTTGAAATAGAAGCGCGCGCGCTCTCTCTCCTACCCGGCGCGCGGCTTCCTCCTCGCGAACCGGCGCGGCGGCGTAAATGAAAACGAATCTGACTCAGAGAATGTTGATCACACCGTGACGAATCTTGCGCGTTATCGCAGAATAGCCCATTGTCACATTATCTAGAATTTTGGGGCTGAAATACGCGGATCCCGCGAGAGATTAATGTAAATTAAATCCGATTTAATTTATCTTTTGTTTATCTGTCATTCCTCGTTTGTAATCCGCAAACTGTTCTCTCAATTTAACGAGGTGAATTTGTGGTAAAGCTGCCTTACGACGCTTTCCGAGGATACCGTAAACGAGAAAAGACATATCACGAGAATAGATGTAGCATCATTCGACGTTGCCTGTTTTAAGGCAGTAGGCCAAGGATAGCAAGGCGATGTTGGTTCTGAGTATTTTATGTCCAAAGAACCTTCGTGGAAATCCATCAATGAAAAATTCGCTCTCGTACACATGTTCTCGTAAAAAAATTTGTTTCTGTCGTCTCGGTTAAAACGTTAAAACTGTTTGAATCAGAAACAACGTTTGATTCTCTATTAACACTTGGCTCAATTCAACGTTCCAGCTTTCTATTCTAAAAGCAAGACGCTATAATTAGAGTTAATGGGGCGCGCATTTTCTACATTATGATGAAAGTGATAAATCGAACATTGCGATTTGCAAACTTTGTGAGGATTTGCAAGATAATCTTCGCGGGTAATCGAGCTGCTAAAAAAGTTTACAATTGGTTGCTAAAGAAATGTTGCAGAAACGTAAAGAAAGATATTGTAAAAGAAATTATATATTTTGTAAAATATATAATTAATATAATATAAATATATCGATTTTTTATATTATGAAAGATATTATGTCGCTAATAGTAATAAACGCTGTATGACTAATGTTTATCGTCTCTTTCAGATTAGACAAAAAAACAAAGGATCTACAGATTGCAGAAAGAAATGCGATGATATTCGAGACGCGATGCAGCGACTTGCAGTCGCAGTTCAATCAGTCTCAGGCGGAACGCAAGAAGCTGTCCGAGAAGGAGCGGGACTTGGAGAAGGAAGTTGATCGATTGAAAACATTATTGGACGACGCTCGCAAGCACCTGGAGGAAGAGACTCTCCAGCGAATCGATCTCGAGAATAATATTCAGAGCCTCAAAGAAGACATCAGTTTCAAGGACCAAGTTTACCAGCAGGAACTTACGGAGACACGCACAAGACGACAGGTAAGTGATTACTCGGAACGTGATCTTTCACGTTGTGCTATCGATAAAAATATCGTTAGTATTAAGAAAAAAATTCCGACTGACATTGGCAAGCAATGAAAAAAGAATTGATTTGAAAACAATTTAGTTTCACTTTAGTTACATAATTTATATGACATTTATTAATTTTTAAATATACTAAAGAAGTTGCATTTTTAATATAATTTTCTGTTGATCCCTTAGTAGATTCTGCGAAATCATATTTTTGTAATTGCATTTTTCAGGTTGAAATATCGGAGATTGACGGTCGTCTCGCGGAGCAATACGAGGCTAAGTTGCAGCAATCGTTACAAGAATTGCGTGATCAGTATGAGGCGCAGATGCGTGCTAATCGAGAGGAGATCGAGCTTTTATATGAGAACAAAATAAAGAATTTGACATCTCATGCTCAGCGTAATAGCGGAGTCGCCAACTTGGCAACTGAGGAATTAAGACAGACTCGCTCTCGAATCGAAGGGCTTAATTCAAAAATCAATGAACTCGAAGCAACTATCAATGCTCTTAATGCACGCATCAGGTAATCTTTTTCAAGATTTTTTCTATAAAAAAATATGTTATATATTTAAAAAAATGTAAATACAAATATAATTTCTCACATTATTCGCTTTCATTTTCAAATAAGTAAGAAAAAAGCAATATAGAAATGAAGGATTAGTAAAAGTATCTGTTTAATGTTATTTATGTATGAATAAAAGTAATTATAAAATAAACATACGAGTAATGTAAAATGCTTCGCGACAGGGATTTGGAGAATTTACGGGAGAACGAGCGCAGTCATCACTCGGAGAGCATGGCTGCGTTGGAAGCGGAGTTGACGCGTATGCGAGAGGAAATGGCCACGCAGTTACAAGAATATCAAGACCTTATGGACATTAAAGTGGCGCTTGATTTAGAGATTGCTGCATATCGCAAGATGCTCGAGTCCGAAGAGGCGAGGTGAGTCAATATCATAAGTCTCCGTAAATTCGAACGGCAAATGTTACACGGTAGGGCAAATGTTAACTTACGGCGAATTTTTACCTGAATTACAGATTGAACATCACACCTATGCAATCGACGAACACGTCTCTGGCCGCTGGTAGATCAACTCCGTCCAGACACACTCCTCTCAGAGGCGGTAAACGAAAACGCACTTTGTTGGAGGAGAGCGAGGAACGCAGCAGTAGCGATTACAGCGTTACGGGTACCGCTAGGGGTGACGTAGAGATTTCAGAAGCGGATCCCCAAGGGCGATTTGTGAAACTTACTAATAAGGGCAATAAGGTGAGTTGTTAGGTGAAACGTTTTGAGATCCAGCGGTGTGCGTGTCTTAGCTTCATTCAAGTTAACTCGAACGTTAATTCTTATTGAGTGTAATTTTTTTTTTTTAATAATATAGGAAATAGGCTTGGGCGGGTGGCAAATTATTCGCAAAGCCGGTTCTCTTGAAACCAACTTCAAGTTTCATCGCAGCGTAAAGCTCGATACAGGTGCTAACGTGATGGTGTGGTCGGCTGATATCGGTGCGACACACGAGCCACCGTCCAACATCGTCATGAAGGGTCAAAAGTGGTTTGTAGCGGACAACATGACTACAATCCTGACAAACATCGAAGGAGAGGTATGTGTTATACATTTGTTGTACATTTAATTCTTAAATGCGAACATTTCCCTTTCTTTATCAGTATAAATATTTTAAATAAATTTTGTAAAATAAACTAAAAGACTCGTTGAATGAGATTGTCACATTTAGATATTTCCGATAAAATAATATGCGGGATAAATGATAAATAAATTTTCTAATACAGGAAATGGCAACTTCTGAGCGCAAGAGGCAGCAGTTGTCCACAACTTTGTCCCGACACAGAGAAATGGGATTTCGACCATCGGAAGAACTCCATCACCAACAGGTAAGGATGCAATAAATGTTTTATTGCATTATACACCACGTTGAATGTTGTAGTGAAATGAAAGCTTTAAACTACTTTTTCGAAAACAAAGAGTAGACAATTATTAGGAAAGAAAAAAAAGAAACGTTAGAAAAAGAAGTTGGATGTTATGATAATATAACGTTGATATGCGTTAAGCATATTATATTTTAACTGCAGCATTATTTTGATATACTACCAAACGCACGGAATCATATCTAGCAAATTGTATAGCAGTGCAATTGTGCCGTAATGCAAAGAAAAAAAAAAAGAAAGAAATACTTTCCATACTTGGGAAACTAAAGGGATGTGTGTTAGTAGAATAATAGCTCTTTTGGAAGAGTCATGCTTTTTAATTCTTAAACATCGAAGAAGACAATGTGGCTATAAATATTTATTTCAAGTTTTTCAAGGCATTACAGGGATTGATTTAATATTTTTATGCAGCAAGTAGTAGCTATTCAGACATTACTTACCTCCCATTTGTTTCTGGAGATTCGTTATATACAGAATAACTGTTGCAGTTAGACAACTAATTTTTGGGGGGTAGTATTTTCACATCAATTCACTTCTTGTTCCATAGAGAAGATATCTCTACCCGTATTAAGGGTGAGGGCACACGACTCTGATGGGCACTTTATGTAAGTTGTTTTATAACCTATCAGATGTTCGAACATTACGTTATCGATAATATTCTACGCATTCATAATATATAGGTATTATTTTGCTTCATATTTTGTTGGTTTTTTCATGCAACATTTTGCCTGGATGCTCACCGCTTAACTAAAATTTCATGCCTTACGAGAATTAATATAATCTTCGTTATATATAAAACTATTGTCATCCCATTAATTAACCACATTGTCTTTAATTAAGATTTGTTAAATATACATTTTAAATATTATCTACGTAGACAATATATATACTTAAAGCTTTCTTACACTGGATTCAACCTAATATGGATGATTTAAAGAGATTTTGATTGTATTTTTATATCTTATTAAATTTTCAATATATTCTGCGAATGCCAAATTGATTAAGTTTTTGCATTACGTTTTGGTGGATAATAGACCAATTTCGAAAATCGAAAACCTTTTGTTATTATTTATATTAATATATCAATTGCTCGATTTTTTCATGGAGTTATTAATATAAATATACATATATGTAATCGGATTACGACAATCATTTGAGAAATTGTATGCGCTTACTTAGAATGCGAACGGTAGTAACATTTACAAATAAATAACATAAATCTGATTTAGCATATTTATGTGTATTCTACATTACTGCACATATGTTAATACAATAATATAGATTATTGTAAGAGATGTAAAGAAAAAGTAGAGCAATGCTACCGAGAGAGATATATATATATATATGTATATATCTTATATATTTTCTCCATATTGCATATCTTTTTCATCGTGTGAATATAACAAATAAGATTCATTATTTGCTTATATCTGTGACTAAACGGACATGTCGATGTTCAGTTGATTAAAGCGAACTGGGGTCCGCGGTGATTACTCATTTATTTCACGTTTCTTTCGTTTCCTTTTTGTTAATGAGGTGTACGTACGTTTTATGTTTCAGAGCGATCCCCAAGGTGAAGAGCGTTGCCACATAATGTGAACATAAATTTACCATAAGTTTAAGAATTAACATAAAAAAAAAAGATTTTAAAAGCTTGTATGATGATAAAATGGAGCTGTGTTACGCAAGCGCCGTTTAGAAACTGATAAAAATAAAAAGAAATCATGCCATGAATACAAAGAAATTAATTTAGAGTACAATATCAGAGATATATGAGATACAAGATTCATTTGTCTGGTATTCACTTCAAAAAGAAGGAGAATAAAAGCAGAAATGATGAATATTGCAGTTGAAACATATTATAACTTTCCTTACATTTATGTAATAGAAATTATATATATATATATATATATTATATATGTATACATATATGAGAAGATATTGTATAATATATTTGAACTGGCAAGAGTTCAAATGAAACTTAACAAATGGGTTTCGTGATGTGAATGAAATACGTTTTTTTTTTTTTGCATTTATCAGTCTATTCATTACGAGGAAATAAGAAAAAGAGGAACTGTGCTATTATATTCTGTTAAACCCACAGCCGTCGAGAAACGATTAACGAGTACGGACGGATATTAATGGTATACGCTTGTATCCAGCAAACTGCTTCCTCTCTGTGCTGTATACCGCGTTACAAGTTCACGTTTATACATCCGTTTGTACTCCCGTCCGGAAATTGTATCGAAATAGCGAAACGCCTTCGAATGTGTTTTAATTATTAATTAATAAATATTAATTTCTTAATTTTTGATTGTATTTATGTTTGTTCATTTTTTTTTGTCCAATGGAGAAAGCATATTCGGGAAAAAGCGATTGGGTTATTAGTATTTTTGTTCTTTTAAGTAAGGATAAGTAACGTGAGACTGTGGGAAAGGCTAAATATGATAGATGTGTAACTGTCAATTAGATGGACTAAGTGAAAACGCCGAAGAAAACGCTCGACTGAATCGTTTACTTAATTAAATGTTACTTCCGTTTTACCGGCCGAGTAATATTTAATCGAACGCTGCGTATATGCCAATGAAGGGAGCGTATTCTTCGGCCGCGGTAAGCCGCGAAATTGCGCATCGAATTGCACGAGTGCTGCCGATAGTCCAGCTGACTCTACAGTAACGGTAATTTCAACGATAATTTCATGGAAAGTACGGGAAACGTATTTGTTCCTACAATCGCGCCCACCTTCTTGTGCATTCAAAATGATTTCTCTTAATTGTATTCAGCGTTATATATCATTTATACTAATAATAAAAAGATCACAAATTAACCGTACAAATGTACTCGTGATTCTTATTTTTCACGATAGTGACAGCAGCTAACTGTTTTTAGGCGAAGTTAAGTTAGAGTAAGTTTTGGATAGAGAAGATTAAAAAAAAAGAGTCGAAAAAATTTAAATGGACAAAACTGTTCGTATTTTATGTGAAATCGGTTAGGTGCTTGTACAGAGCCGGTTTATAAGAAAGGATTTCCTTCTCTTTGTATAAGAATGCTATTTTATCGTATTGAAAGAGATGCATTTTCGCGTGAACCATTAAGAATCGATAAATATTTTCAATGTTAGCCCGATTTTGTAAGAAAAATTAGTTTAAAAATGTATTGTATTCCACCAATAAAAAATTGTGTCTTATTTCATTTATTTTTCGCATAACGTTACAGTTAGTTCTCTCCATTCTAAGAATTCCTAATTCCAAGTCGACTGTTTTCCTCTCAATTAGGATTCTCCTTTTGCCCCGCTCTTTCGCTAGCTGCCTTAGCATATATTATTAAAAGGATTAACGAAAAAAATCTTAGATTAGAGACAAGGCGCAATCTCGACAATCTTAGCATAAAGGAAATCGATTTTGTATTTTTATTGAAAATTTAATTTGCTGAATTTTGAAAGTATCTATTCGGATACAAAAATACACCTTTTTAATAAGATTTGTATTACGTTAAACAAATATAAAAATCATTAACCTTTAGAAACCGAATAGATTTTTTACGATTTCTATAATTTTTGTGTTAGAAATGTCAAAGTGATACCCTGAAAAAAATAATGAGATCAGTCTAAAGCCGAAATTATCGTCTTCTTGATTTCTAAAAGTTAAAACTCTCCGTTGAAGGTAATTTAGTGAAGTTTTATTAATACTTCTGTACATATACAATACATATACAAAGGTACTTCGTACATATTAAAAAAGTAACGTGAAAATTAGTATAAAAGTTCTTTGACATATATATCGTAATGCACGCGTCACATCTACGTGGTGAGTGTTGCATTATTTCGATGTTACGGTTATTCTATTCGCCTTACGGTGACTTACGATATTATGATGAAATAAAAAACGATCATCTCTGCACCCGTATGAAATAAATATTAGGAACTAAGCTGGGCGACATCTTTCGCATCCATACGATACGAATCTGTAATATTTTATATCTTGAAAATGGATTGTGACTCTTTGTGTCATTATATAAATATATATACATATATGTATACATAATGGAAATGTTTTTAGAGAAACGGAAAGAGACAAAAGCTCTACGATTTTTCATACAAATAAGATCGTACAGATTTTTGTTATTCTACTACGGTGTAATATATATATGTATATATGTTCACATCAAATAAAGTACATGTAAAATCTTATTATTAGCTTACATAAGAAATAAATAAAAAAAAATGTCATCATACAAAATTGTCAAGTTAGTGAGAAGAGACAGAGATAATTACGACAAAAAATAAAATCATCCTATTACTTAACACTTGGACAAAGGAATTCATCCTTGACGTCGCAATATCATCTGAAAGAAAGCTCTTCTTTAAGTACCGTTTAATCGCGTGCAATAAACCTCGCATTGCTATTAATTACATCGACAAAAGCACGATAATGAGCGCGAACGACGCTTCCGAGATTCGTTTTACCGAAATCAAAATCGGTAGTACCTATCGTCGCAAAGAGTATAGTGAGATGAATATAATAATTCATTCGAAACACGCAGAGTCCTTGAAAATCCATCACATTCACATATATCTTATATATGTAATCGTAACCATTATATATATACGTGAACACAATATAGAACATTTACACATTTTATAAGGTAACGCGTTGTATATCTGTAAGGGAGCGTCCCGTTTGACCACGTCCCGATTGACCACAGCCACTGACAGCGGCCGGTGCCTAGAGATTTTCCACTGTTCAAGCGCTGTGGCTGGTGATCAATTGGGACGTAGTCAATCGGGTGTCACCCTCTTGTAAGCATAGTCTTCACGAAGTTATCTTCTCTATTGGGTTACTTTCGATGGCTATGCTTCTCTTCGGGGGAGGGGAGGGGAAAAGTCTTAAAGTAATCTAAATATCCATTTCGCTCGATATCTTGGATGGTAACGATTTCTTATTATATATATCGCTCGTAATTTATAAGAGGCTAATATTATATATCTCACTTCTTCTGAAAACTTGTATATAATATCTTTGAAAATGGCAGTCGCGCCAGGAGAATTCCAGCTTTTAATGTTTCACGTTTATTGAACATGCAAATGCGAACGTGTGTATTAATGATCAGATACAAACGGTTAGGCACGTATCTGTCGATATATCCGATTAAATTCTCTCTTCTCTGAATTCATCGATTAAACTCTCAATAAACACCAACAGGTCTCTCAGATACTTTGAACATGGTTAATTAATTCATTTTTTTTTTCCTTTTTTTTCTTCGAAGTCGATAACTTCCCTTACAGAAATCCAATTTCATGTACTGGCCAATTTAATACTTGGAAATTACTTACTTTAAAAGCAAGCTGCTGTTCTCAGTAAATACTCAAAATAAGTAATCAATTGCTACCTTCCAGTATTAAATTTCTGTAAGGGTCCTCAAAACTTTCATTTCCTCGCGGCTCTCGTATAAAGCATTTATTCTCGGCATCGACACAGGATCCTCCACAATTTCTATTGTTGTACGACGTTTCGGCGATTATTTCACGAACTACCGGTCAGATTGCTGTTCAGCAGCTCGGTGTTGGCGTTGTTCGCCGTTAGCTGCTGCTGCTCCTTCTGCTTCCTGCGCCGCTTGCGATTCCGCTTGTGCATGCAGAACAGCACTACGAAGGCGACGAAGAGGAACCCCGCGACGCACGAGACCACCAGTATCCAGACCGAGCGTGCCTTCTCGGTCTCCTGCGCTTGCTGTATAATGCCCGAGCACTCGTTGTACAGCTCGTACGTCCGATTGTTGAATGTTACATTGGCGCAATCCTCGGTCGGCGAGTTGGCGCAAATGAAGAATTTCGGCTTCATCTTGATCTCACGTAGCTTGACCCAGGCATTCAGTGTCTGACATTCGCAGCCGAACTTGTTGAACTTGATCGCGTTCCCGGAGAGATCGAGTACGTTCAGCGAGCAGAACTGCGCCAGGTCCTCGGCATTGATCGAGGTGATCTGATTCTTGGACACGTTGAGGGTGGTGAGGCTCGGCTGCAGGCCGATACGCGGGAGCTGGGTGAGTCTGTTGTCGGTCAGCTGTAGCAGCCTGAGGGGCGAGGTAACCTCCACGTTGAACACCGAGTCGGTGAGCCTGTTGCCACTGAGGTAGAGCGTGCGGAGATACGGCAGCTGGAAGAGGCTCTTCGGCAGAGTGTCGCAACCGTTCGTCGAGAGCTCCAGCACCTCGAGATACTTTTGATTGGCGAAGGCCCCTTCTTCGATGGTTGAAATGAAATTGTCACCCAGGTAGATGTAGGCCAAGTTCGTGTAAGGATCCAGACTGTTGTTCTTCAACTCCCTGATTCGATTCCAGGTAGCATCCAGCACCTGTGACAGAAATATCCATCGAATATAAATCAGACAAATGTACCTACATAAACGTAAAAATAAGATTTGAAACCAGGAAGACATGTTTATAGGACCGTTAATAGTCTCTGTGTCAACAAAAATAATGAGCATGGAATATCGTTTAATTAAATTGGATTGAAAATTGTTAAAATCTTATGTAACTTCAATATCGAGTAATATCGGAGTTCAGTAATAGGTGTATTAAATTATGATTGACAACAAGAAAATAATAAATATTATGTGTGTATGTGTGAGCGTACAAAATTAATGAACAAAAATATCATATCTTACTATCTCGTTTCTGAAGGTGCGATGTGTTATTCAAATGGAGAACACACCGCTCGCGTTATTTATCAGATTTCTGTTAGTAAAAACATTTGGAGATGAAAAATGGTAATTCCGCCGAACGGAAAGAGGTCGGGATTTATCAATAAGATCTTTGTTTCCGTAAAGATGCACTTGTCAGATTAGCTCGGCGAGAAGAATTAATGGCGTAGCTAACTCAATAATGCAAGGACGCGAGGTATTAGGACGACGGATAATGGTTTCTTTGACGCGGCCTCTTGATATGCAAATGCAATGAAGAAATGCATAAATATTTTAATGCCTTTTATTTATATTAATTTAATAAACCTCGCATGCGCAATTTTTTGCTCGTTACAGTTTTCCGGTATCGACCGAATCGATCTTCAAAATTTACAAGTTAAAGTTTCCTGGTATCATTAATTATAAATGATTAATTAATTTTTTTCAATTAGAAATATCAGATATTTTCTAAACTAAGCTTTAAAAAACTCCTGTTAAACTGAGAGATAGATTTTGAAGATTTATAAATCAGTTGAAACAAAATTGGCTAAATTTGAAAAGTGGGATACTTATTTGCATTCCTCTCTTGATGCTTAATTTATCCGAAATCTTTAAATTTTAACCGCTTGTAAAATAAACGGTTTGAGATAAAATCCATTTAATTTCTCCTTCGTTGCGTTTTGAGACGCGCCCGAAAGCGTCCTGGGATATTTCGTGAATAAGGATATCGTGTTCTGTTGACGCTGGTTTACATCGCGCAGGCCTAACTCTGAAATTAGTAGTCTGATATTTCTGCGAACGCGTGCGTTAAATTCTACGTACGAGTCAGCTTTGTCGATTGAATGTATAAACAGCTCTTTGTGCGCGTTAATTCATATATGGTGGCGTTGCACAGATTCACACTTAATTCTCACAAGTACGTTTATATGTACATAATGAATATATGATCATAACGATATTTTAACATATACATCGTACATATGCATACATAATGAATACGATCATATATTCACGTAATATATCTAAATTCAATTTTGTTAATGACAAATTTTTCGACGCATAATTAATTTTTCCGTTAATCACAATTTGACGCAAAATTGTTTCAACGACCGCAAATTAAAAAGGATTCCGTCGAGACAAAGATCTGCTTGAAATTGAATGAAACGTAAGATTTCTTTTGTCGTCCATATTCAATTTTGTAAAATTGTCAACTCGCATTTTCATTTGCGAAAAAATTGTTTATCAACGCGAGACGTCTCACAGGGAGAAGACTCAATTATTGGATCCTAGTATCAAAGAAAATCTGCAACGAAATTGCTCTCGGGTTCTTTTCCCAACGGGACCCCGGGACACCCGACACGCAAGATCAAATGTTGGAGAGCATCGGTAATATCTCCGCACGACTAAAATTTCTCAAGTGTATTGCGGAACGCATCCATCCTCGTGACCCTGGACAACCCAATCTCCGGATTTAGCATGTCTGGAGTTTTGCCTGGGATTCATCGGGCGGCAAGTTTACCAAAGTACGAAAGTGTAGCTGCAGACGTACGGGGATTTGCAGGATGCGGTCGTATCGGACGGGCGCGGTTGGGAGAAAGAGAAAAAGAGAAAAACAGAGCGGACGTGGCATGGAAGGAAGACGCGTTCCCGTAAAATGATGGAAAAGATTTAAGTCCCGAAAAGAGATGCATATGGAGGAGACGAGGGAGG